CCTATATTCTTGCCCTATATTATTAGAGAGTTAACTTTATTTCAAGTTTTGTGGGGAGCATTTTAAATTTAAAAAAAATTTTTTTTAAAGGCTTTTAATATATGCTGCAAATTTGCTTTCCAGAAAATGTATGCAATTTACATTCCCCCACACAGCAGGCATGTCCCCTTCCCTCCACATACTCCAAGTATTATTATAGGAAAAAAACATTTCTTTTTTGCCAATGTGATCATTGGAAAAATAGTAACTCATTGTTTTAACTTGCATGATTTTGATTTTTAGTGAGACTGAACTTTTTAATGTATTTATTGGCTGGATTTTAACTTCAGCTAAGCTTCATAAGTATGTAGTTATCAGGACTTCCATGTTACCTATAAAAGAAGACTTCTTTCAGAAAATATTTGTTGAGTACCTAAGATGTGCAAGACATTGTAGAGGTTGTCTTAGATCAGTTCCAGGAAGATGGGGCATCTCCTGAACGTAGCTTCTGGAGGGAGCTCCTGCATCCTGCACAGAGGGGAATGAGTCAACCTTTTAAAATTTTTAACAGCCATATTGAAGTATAATTTACATAATTTACCTATTATAAATGTACAGTTGGACAATGTTTAGCAGATGTATAGAGTTGTACAACTATTACCACAGTCCAGTTTTAAAGCACTCCACCCCAAAATATTCCCTCATGCCCATTTGCAGTCAATTCCCATTCCCCATTCCCAGCCCCATGCAACCATCAATTTACTTTCTGTCTCTATAGATTTGCCTGTTCTGGACATTTCATATAAATGGAATCATACAATATGGGGCCTTTTGTGACTGGTTTCTTCCCCTTAGCATAATGTTTTCAAGGTTCCTCCATGTTGTAACATAAATCAGTACTTCATTCCTTTTCATTGCTAACATTCCCTCGTATGGATATTCCACTTTTGGCTATCCATGCATCAGTTAATGAACCCTTGGACCATTCTAACTTTTTGGCCATTATGGATAATGCTGCTATGCACATTCATGGGCAAGTCTGTATAGATAATGTTTTAGATTCTCTTGGGTATAAACCAAGGAGAGGAATTCCATGTCACTTGAGAATTTTCTTCCTGATATTTTGATATTCTTTAGCGTGGGCATCAGACTTTATGCTATTACTCTCACATAATAGTAAAAATATAAGCTGGTTCTTTTAACAGCAGTAGTAGATAATATTTATCTGTCTCTAGGGAGTCGTCAACTTAAGAAGCAGGGGTTTCAGAGTTTATTTGTAAGTTTAGAAGAGCTCAGGTTGTATTACCTTATAAATAAGAATACACATGGTTTCCAGGTCAATCAGTAGAAACATATTTAGAGATACAATTGGAATGCTAGGAACATTCCTTCCCCCCTCCATCTAGTTTCACCTATGAAATATTTTAAGTTCTATAACATCTGGAGACATTTTATCTCAGACTATAACAAATTTTGAGTTATTTACCTTGCTCATTGCTTCTGTTTGGAGTGATTTTTAAAATATTTTTAAACACATTGGAACAAAATAAAATTTAATATACAACATGAGACTTAAAAGAAATTCATGATTATGGTGGCCAATTTGACCTCCAGAGATAAATGTTCATTATCGTCCTACCATCAGAGCTAATTTGGTGAAAATTTTGAAAAACTACCCACTAGTTCTCAACTTTTTTTCCACATAAACACAATTTCATGAATGTGAGGCACAGGCATACCTAGCCTTTGATGGTTAAGAGAGTAATATAGATAAATAGGGTTCAGTATGGATAGTTAGTGGCAATTCCCTTAGCTATAATCCCAGCTGATATCCTGGTTCTCAACCATTGCCTTAGAAAACTTTAATGGGCATGTTCTGATACAAACTTTGAAAAATCAATTCAGCCATGTCAAATTCATTAACAGAACTTATTTTTAAAAATATGCCTATGTGGGTTTTAATGAAAATGTGATTAATCACTCCCCAATTTTTTGTAGAGTTTGATTTTCACATAGCTAATTTACTTTAAATCAGTGCTTCTAAAACTTTAATATACCTACAAATTAGCTGAGGATCTTGTTAAAATGTACATTCTGATTCAGCAGGTCTGGAATGGGGTCTGAGATTTTGAACTTCTAGCAAGCTCCAGGGTGATGCAGATATTGCTGGTCCAGGGTCCACACTTTGAGTAGCAAAGCTTTAAATGGCTGGCCTCTAGCAGTGCTCCACCTGTTTTGAATCTGTTTCTAAACCTGCTGCAGACTGCAAAAACGTGTAAACTAAGCCAGTGACAATTGTTTCAAAAATCAGAAAAATCCTGAGTGACACCAAGCCTCAGCCTTTCCATAGCACAGGGTTTGGAATTTCTATTTGGGGTTTCCTAATACCTTTTCTCATAGGTGTTTGAGGCTCTGATTTAGAAAGCTGAGTTAGCTGGATGACTAACCTTCAGATAAATGAGGTATTATTCACCTCTGCATATTTTATTGGGTCCATAAATAATGTGTTTTTGATAAATTGAAAAGCAAGAATGGAAGCAAACAGATGAGTTGGGAAACTATTATAATAGTATGGCGGGAAAGTGATGTCAGGCTAATCTAAAGCCATAATAGGAGAGTGGGTTGGACTTCTGAAAAAGAAGTAGAGGAGTGTATGTTTATGTGTGTGTGAGAGAGAGAAAGAGCTACACCAGTGGAGGTGGGGGAATAGGGGTGATGAGAAAAAGAAGTCTAAGATTATCCCAAGGTTCTTAGCTTGAGTGTCTTGGTAAACAGCAGTGCTCTGAACTAAGAGAATCTAGCAGGAGAAACAACATTGGGCAAGGGAAATATTGGAAAAATAAGTTTGGCTTTGGTCATGTTGTATAGTGTCATGGTTTGTAGTCAGACAAATCTAGGTGCAAATTCCATCTCTACCATTTATTTAGCTGTATGATCTTAGGTAAGTTACTTCTCTGAGCCTCCTTTTATCTGTAAAGTAAGCATGTAAAAATGTGCAACCTTGTTAATGAAAATTAAGTGGCTATTTATGTACATACACATATAGCACCAGCACAGAACCAGCAATGATATCCAAGGCAGTTTGCAATCCCAGTCCTTTCCTAAGCAATTTACATTAATGTACACAATTGAACATTTTTTTGTTTTCTTTTTAAAAAATTTTTTTCAGCATATTACAGGGGTACAAATGTTTAGGTTATATTTATTGCCTTTTCCCCACCTGAGTCATAGCTTCAAGCATTTCCATCCCCCACACAATTGAACATTGAATAGAGTGGCATGCTCTATTTTTTAAGGTGCTTTCAGAAAAATATTTTTATTTGAAAAGGCTTGAAATAAATTGTTTATGATCAAGTCAAAATTTTACATCATAGAAGTAATTTAATTGGGAAAAAAGTTTTCTTTACATAATCAGTGAAATATTTGTTTACTAAAGCAGGAGCTTTCTAAATACCCTGCTCTGAGCCAAAAGTGAGCCTGATCTTATAATAGGGAGCTTATGGGTATACCTGCATGGAGTTGCAGAGTAAAGAGGTAGAAACGCCATCCAGACTCTGGACAGCCTTTGCCACAACTCTAACCTGTAAGGGTATTGGAAAAAAATGTGGTTTGATGAGGAAGGAAATAAAAAGGGGAAGGAAAGGTGAAAAGAAAGAACACCTCACATCTCTCTACATTTGCTACATTTACTGATGATATTTCATCAGGAAGATGAGAAGATATTATCTGCCTCAGTACTCATTCAAATTGGGATGGCTTTTCCCAAGGATATATTGCAGTCTGGGCTCTGGGATACTGCCTCTTTCCATACTGTCCAAAAAGCTGCCTTGGGACTACTTACTGCCATTTAGTAGAAAGGAATCCCAAATTGCCCCTTTTCTCAAAAGAAAAATCCCTACACGTTATATAGCACATACTTACATCTTTGGAGTATTAAGAGGAAACGTTCCTGCAGGGCAGAGTTCCCTGGCTCCACGACTTTGCATCTGCATGTGCCCCACCCCATATCCACACACACACACATACATATATCTATATATATTTAGCCATATGGCCTTGAGGCTTCATTCTCAAAACAGCTTGCCAAGAGCCCCTTGCTTGCCTCCCGACTCCTTCCTTCCTATAAACCTGTTTTCACTTTTAATGTACTCTTTAATTCCCGTGGACTTTGTTATCGCAATAAAAAGTCCCCCAAATATTTCCTCATAGCGATGTCATGCAAATTATTGACCTTATTCACCTTAGTGTTCAAGCGGCTGCATATCATTGTCAAGATACAAAGAGGTGAAGGCTGCCCTGAAAGGGATATTTTTTCTTAAAAAGAGCTTAAGAAAGAAAAAAATTACTTATAAATTGTTTAGATCCCGAAAGGGAAAGTCAGACAAGATATGTTCTGTGGCTTATTACGGTAAACGGACAGGGGCGGCGGTGGGGGAAGAGAGGGGCGCCCAGTGTGAAGAAAATGCGTGGTTTCTGGAGATTTTATATTCTTCCTATACGAGCAGAAAGAGCTTAATCTAGGCAAGAATTTTGGATTTAGACAAGGAATCATATCACTGCGCGACCTTGGATAAGTCACCTCACTAGTCAGCGCTTTCGTTAATGAATGTGCAAAGTGGGGAAGAAGTCCCCTTCTAAACGCTTGAGGATTATGTGAGATCCACTAAGTATATAGTTGACGCTCATGACATTTTTGTTGCTGCTACTGCTGCTTCCCAGAATGGGCCGTCGTTACTTCCAAATTCCGGAAACTTTGCTTTCCACAATTTAACGTCTTCGACTGTAAAACGACAGGGAGAAGCAACACTTTTATGCCTGGGGTCATTTATTAGAACCAAAGAAAAACGCTTTAAACTTCGGATAGGCAAAACACACTTAACTGGTGGCGGGACCCGCTTTGAAAGCACCCCTACTCAGGTCTTACCCCAGTGTATTGTGGGAAGTGTAGTCCCACGCTCCAGTCGCGCGAGTACAGAAAAGCGAGTAGCAAACTACAACTCCCAAGACGTAAAGAAGCGGGACTGTTTCCCAGTCGGGCGGTAGCGCTGTGGGAGGGAATTGGCAATCTCGCTGCCTACGTGGGAGAGAAGGGAGGGTTGGGGGAAGTGTGGAAAACCTGAACCTGAGCTGCCGCCGCCTGAGGAAGATTTGGTGGGAGAAGTAGAAGGGAAGAAACGGGTTGAGTGTGGGGTAAGGCGGGCACCCACGTCGCTGCTCCCGAGCGGCACAAAGTTCTTCACGATGTGGCTGAAGCCGGAGGAAGTGCTCCTGAAAAATGCGCTGAAGCTGTGGCTGATGGAAAGGTCCAACGACTACTTCGTGCTGCAGCGGCGTCGGGGCTACGAAGAGGAAGGCGGAGGGGGGCTCACAGGTAAGTTTTGCCCACCCCCACCTGTCTCAGGGCCGTGTTCACTGTTACTTAAAAGGTAGCGAGGAAAACAGTTACTCATAGCTACCCGCTGCCCGGTCCTAAACCCTGGGCGGAGGGACTGGGGTTCTTCTCCCGCCACCACCTTTCCGCTACCACCTCCAAGTCCTGAGAGTGCTTCCCTGGACGACCAGTTGCTCTTTGGGTGGGACAGGGGAAGGGAGGAGCGGTTTTTTCTGAGGCAAAGGAAGAAACGGGTACCTGCCCTGTCGCTTCCCATGGGGGGAGGGGGCTGATGACAAGTGTTCAGGTCGCATTTAGACTGGTGAACGGGACCAGTTTGCAGTTGTGGACTTAACTATTTTTCACAAAACCCAGACCGATCATCACCACCCTGGGGAGTTTTATGGGAGGGGAGGGGTTTCGGGAGACGCGGGGATAGCAAGGAGAAAGGGAGGCGCCCCAGTCACATACTGGGAAATAGGCTTCAAAAGAGAGATTAAGGAGGCGGGGAAGGTCTAGGGGCAGGGCTGGGAATTGCTGATCTCTCCCAATTTAGCATCTTTTACTTTGTCTGGAAGTTTTCAATCCTTGGTATCCCTTCTCAGAGGCCATTATAACGTCGTAATAAATTTCTCTTTGAGTGTTTGGCGCTCTCCCTTCATTCAAAGCCGTGATTGTAAGCCAAACCAATTAAATGGGGGTTTAACTCTCCCTGCCTAAACCACCCTGCCCCCAATTCTTAACAAGAACTGTTTCTTGGCTGAGTGTTTAAAGTCTCCAAAGAATGTTATTTTGAGATCATTCGTCTTGGGTAGGGACATTCAAACTTTTGGACGTTGGGGAGACGACTGTTTTTCGTGACAATTTCTGATTTGGTACTGTGCCCTTGAAGTGGTGGACCATGTTTAATTTAGGCAGCGTGATGTAGTGGGAAGAGGAAAGTGTACAATAATAATCTGCATGTTAGTCCCACGCTCATCTCTTATTTGTTGGATGACATTCCTGAAATTCTTTCATTTACTCAACCTTAAGCACCTACTGTGTGCCATTAGCAATTCTCCCGTGCAAAGACAATTAAGATTCAATTATCTGCTTTCTCCGTTCTCACTGTCTGAATAAGTGGGGGAGGGTGGGATAGGGAGAAGGAAGACCGCCTAGGAAAATCGGGTAAATTATTATTAGAACCAAATGACTGACAGGGTGAGTGAAGATTCATGGAGGAGGTTACCTTGCATTTCCTCTTCTGTAAAATGGTGCCAACCTCACAGAGTTGAGAGGATAAAAAGAAACATACTAGACTCCAAATCAATGTATGTTGTTAAAATGGTGATAAACGTGTGCTGTCATTTCTTTTTCAAACCACTCCCAGGGTGGAGAGAATTCTGAGGTTTTAAAGGACATTAAAAAAAATGTTTTTGCAAGACCTGTGATCTTATTCAGCTTCTAAAAAAAGGCCCTCTTGAAAATATGGCAACAAAAATTCCTCTGTTAAACTTGACATTTTGTCATTTTCTGTGCCTAAAAAAAAATTACAAGTGTTATTTTGCAGAAGTCTTTCTATTTAATATATGCAAATATTTTCCAGATTAAAATTTGAGACTCAGTGTTTATAATTACCCAGTGACATAAATTATCCACTTCAGTTCATTGAGAATAGGTCAGGATATATTTAAAATAGATTTTACAGCCGTGTGTTACAGCCTCAGAAATAATCTTATATTTTGACTCCTCCTAATTTTACCTGACCAGAATTTTGATTGATGCTTCTGCCCACATTTACTAGAGAAGTGTATCTCACTTCGTACAACTGTGTTCATGAAAAATAAGAAGGTAAATCAAATTATTGGGAATCAAATCACTATAATGTAGTATTAAATGATTTTTTACTTATTGCATGTTTCCTTTAAATAATAACTCCTCTTTTTGTGTGTTTGATTTTTCATTTGACATGCTTTCTTAAAGCATGGACCAATTTTACCAGTTTCTTATCTCTATCCCACCTGCTCCCCCATTTACCAGTTTCCATATCTCTAGAATAAGAGGAAATTTGTCTAATGAAATAAACCAAGATTTTTACCACACATATATGTTGTGACTAGTGATAGACCTATTGACTTAGAGGTCAATTTATATCACTGCATGATTATTTTACCTGCGGTATAGAAATTACTACATGTAAACTGCCACTGTAATTCCATGTAAATTAGACAAAATGGATCAGAAAGGAGCAAAGAGATGTTTTTAAGGTTTGTTTGGTTCTTTTTGGTCTAGAGCCAAAGTATGTGCTGATTTTCATGGCTGCTCAATTACTGTATTCTTACTTAAAATTGTGAAGCCAAGAGCTTTGCTGTGCTTTACCGCAAATCCACATTTGGATTAATTCTCATAGGAGCTTGACTGTGTGCTATCATAAGCTTGCCTTTGTCCATTTTGTTTGCTAAAATCCAATATTATATGCTATCCCTTTAACAGGTTAGTGTATACATTTTGTTTAATGAAGAAAAGATGACAATCTCAAAATGTTATTGAGTGTACTTTTTTTAAGATTTTGTTTCTCTGCCATGTGATAATTGGCAATAATCACCAGTGGTGTAATTTAGGGGTGGACTTGGTAAAGTTAGTTGACTCTGTTTTTTCTTATAATGGAATAGCAACAAGAGAACTCTAGGATCGGTATAGCAAGAGACCAGTTTGGAAGTTAGAATTCTGAGGTCCCTTTTCTAAATTTTTGAAACTCTTATAGTGGGTATCTGGTAAATTACTGACCATTTGCCTAACTTTATCTTACTTAATTGTCCTGGCTTACAGCAGTAGAATATCTTGTGAAAATTTTTGTTGTACATAAGGCTGTTTTACAGATAAAGTGATTTTCCTTCGTTTAGAGAAGTTAATTCACCTTTCTGAGTATTTACAGTTCCCTTATGTTATCCCTTGCTTCTCCTGGCTGATAAGGGTAATGACTTTTCTGTAGCACTTAAATTTAGCACCTGGTTGTATAGAATTAAGGATAATTTATGCATGTTTGGCTTATTAAGCACAAATCAACAATTTGCTCTACTTGACAGTAAGAACTATTACATGGGTGGAATTATGGGACTGTATTCTATTAAGTACTCTAGTATATGGGATTTAGGAAGATGTGCCAAATCAGGAAGTCTTAATTTAGATGGTTAAGAGTATTTAACTCTTGAATTTTCCGTATCTGATAGTGTAAGCAGGTTCTTGGATGTTGAATTGATAATCTCCTTCAGGAGACATTGTTTTTGTAGTGTATAGAGAGCAAAACTAAGAAATAAAATTTATTAAAGTGGAATCTTAGGCCGGGCGTGGTGGCTCATGCCTGTAATCCTGCCACTCTGGGAGGCCAAGGCGGGCAATCCAGAGTCAGGAGTTCGAAACCAGCCTGAGCAAGAGCGAGACCCCGTCTCTACTATAAATAGAAAAAAATTAATTGGCCAACTAATATATGTGGAAAAAATTAGCCGGGCATGGTGGCACATGCCTGTAGTCCCAGCTACTCGGGAGGCTGAGGCAGGAGGATCCATTGAGCCCAGGAGTTCGAGGTTGCTGTGAGCTAGGCTAACGCCATAGCACTCACTCTAGCCTGGGCAACAAAGTGAGACTCTGTCTCAAAAAAAAAAAAAAAGTGGAATCTTTTTAGACATTTTGTTTCCTTATATCCTCCTTCATCTTGGTACCATTACTTTGAAATTAAAATCATTTATCAAGACTAGAACATGATGACGTTTGAAATAAGCTTTTCATTTCAAAAATATTTGAAATAAGCTTTTAGTTTTATGGTGTTTATATAGACTTCACAAATCACTATGTAAATGATTTTTCATAAACACATAAACAATAAAGTAGCCTTTTTAAAAAACCTTTTAGTGACCATCTCTTGAAAATATAAAGCTTCTCTCCTCTTTTTCCCCACCCTCAACTCAAGGAGTTTAACTCTGAAAGTGTTCGCACTAAGTATTTATCAGCAAAATATTCCTGCATTTCATGCTCACAGAGGAGCCATCTGATAAAAAATTTTGGCCTCCAGGTACCTCTTTACTGATAAGGGGGTATCCAAATGGTGAGCATGACATTTCATTTTAGGTAAGCAAAGATCTACCCACCCCCTACACGTACACATACACAAACATACAAAGTTAATAAATTATCATTTTGGCTTATGAAAAAGAAAATCCCACAGGGAAGCTCTAGGGAGGACAAATCACACTGTGTGATCTCCCTCCCTCCCTGAAACATCTTGAACCCTGTGAAATCAAGTAAAAAATTACCTTTAAAGATCTCTTTGAATGAGAAAGGGCAGCCTTATAGGAAGTTTTGAGAAATGAAGGACGATCAGCGTTACCCCTTTTTCTTGGTAGAAAGTTTATTGCCTGCATACCTTTAAGCTTTGGGCGCTTTTTTAGATACCTGTTGATAAATTCTCTTGCCCTTTCCCCTCCCCTGCTTGCTGCTGGAGCCTTTTGCCTTTTCTTGTGCATTGACTGGAACCCCTACTCCTGTTTGCCTTAGGGCCATGAATCCTCAGGCCTCTAGAGTTAAAGTCCTAATGATGTGCATTGTGTGCAAAGGGTTTTTTGTTTGGTTGGTTTTTTGTGGAGATTTATAATGTAAGTAGAAAATTAATACTTCCTATCATGTGGATTTCATTCTAATGAAAATAAAAACAAGACTAAAATGTTATGACACTGACCATCCTTCATTTCTCTAACCCCCCTGCAAAGTTGCCCTTTCTTGTTCAAAGAGATATTGAAAGGTAATTTTTTACTTTATTTCACAGGGACCAAAATGTTTCAGGGAAGGTAAGGAGCACACAGTGAGATTTGCAGTCCCTGGGTATTGCCCTGTGGGATTTTCTTTTAAATAAACCAACTACAAGCCAACAGCCACAAATATATGACTACATCACCAAGTCCAATGATTCCAGTTGCCCTATTAACCCTGCTTCTTTTATCCTCCTTGATTCTTTGATATTTTTTTGT